GGGGTAGTAGGAAGAGCACGACGATGGCTTTAAAAAGAAAGATTTGCAGCCATTGATTCGTACGCAGCAATGTGGCAGCATACAGGGGCTATATATATATATATATATATATATATAATATATATAATATATGTATGCATAGAGTCTATTTATGCCAAAAACGTACAAGGTTGGGCTAGTTAAAAGAAGGATTGAAAGGAATGTGTCAATGCAATAAGAAGAAGCCTGCATTGCTGTTGGGACCTGTTTAGGGCATAGAGGAAATGAGAATGATGGATAACAACCATGTCTTGCCATAAAAAAGAAACGTTGATTTGTATCGTTGACGCATATAAATAATCGTTAATTAATGTCGATGTATACATTGATTAATGATTTAGATCTATGAGTTATCGACTCACAGGTAGGGGCTTGGTTAAGGGAACCCACCAAACGAGTCTACAATAGGGCATGCAAGTAGTTGTTAGTTTCCTTTTATAAGAGTAGTATTTACCTACAATTAGTTATATATAATTTTGTGTGTATCTCACGTAATGAAAGGATAAATATTGTTGTCTAATCAGTTATAGCTCCTTTTGTATGATTGTAAGTACATGAATTTTATTTTTTTTAAACCAAAAAAAAAAAGGAGGTGAAGAAAAACAAATGAAATCATCAAGAGCATGTGTATGTGTATGTGTGTGTGTTTATGAGTGGTACTGCCCTTTATATTTATAATTTTGACTTGAACATGTCATAATTTTCTTTATAATTAATGTCACTTGTGCAATTACTCTTCCCTTCCACTTACAGGTGGAAACATTAACTTCACAAAAACAACAAAAAAACAGATTCTTCTTTTAATCAAGTACTTGACATGTACTCCAATTCCTTTATCCAAAATGAAACTTTATCCATAAATAACTCTGCACAAACAAAACTTAGACTGTTCAATTTAGACAGGACAGTAGTTATGCAGATGATTTCTTTTCTAAGATTTTTTTTTTGGGGGAGGGGTCTTTAATGTACGGAGAGGGGGATTGAACTCGGATACAAAGAGGCGGGCACATGATCTTAACTAACTGACCTAACCCACATGTACCATTTCCTATGAATCATTGCTGACTCTAAAAACCAGATGAGACAAAAAAATGTATGAATTTGTTTGGTACACAAACTAGACAGTTGTGAGTGATGCTGAAACCGATAATCCAAATGATGAAAGGTCACACTCATCTGAGTCAGCTCAACTCATGGCACTTTGATACGTATGAGTTGTTGTTCCATTACTAGCAGGTACATGAAAATGATCACTCAGCTCCCATGACAGCTCAAATGGCCCATTTTAGAAGAACCACTATAGACCTCACCAATGGCAAAACAAAAGGAGATCTAAGGAGATGCTCATGTTATTTCAAAGGGTCTAATAATATGAACACATTTTTGGGAAACATTGGGTGGCCGAGAGGTTAAAGCGATTGTTCAATGGATGAGGTCGCAAAACAGCTGCCTTTCCTTCATATAGTTCCTGTATTTTCAAACTTACCTTGTAGTTGTTTAAGGTTTGCAGTTCGAGGACATATCCTTATTTCCGTCAATTGAATGGATGGTGTGGTCATGTGCCTCGCACGTGATTTAGGTCAAACTATAAAGGTTTTAATTGAAATCCAGTTAAACTATATGAACTTTAAACGCCCTAAAATGTGTGTGATAGATTATCATGTTGTTAAAAATAGAAAATATTCATTGAATTGTAAGAGATACACAAACTATATAAAGTTTTAGTGAAAATGAACTCAAATTACAACCGCATTTCTATATTTGAATTTTTCGACTATTATGTCATGATTAAGGTGGGTGACACCATGCATATATTGAGATGATCATCATCTTCTGTGTCGAAACAATCTTAATTATGATATCAAGTTTGAAAAACGATTACAACTTGGGTGAAAGGATCATGTCTAAGGTTGCAAAACTTGATCAACGTGAATGGGATATGTCGCCTCAAGGCTCAAGATCACACCAGATATCAATTTTATATTAAGGAACAAATTTACCAATTTCTAAGAATTACTCAGAAGCAATTCACTAGTACTTTTGTCCCCCACTATCAGCCCAACAAAGAATGACCTTTGCCGTCAATCACATTACTTTTACAGTTTACTGCTGCACATCTGACATCTGACATCTGTCTATTGCTTCAAGGAAGATTTGAGCCACATGATGGCATGTTATTGGTCACCGTAATTTTTTATTTTTTTAATCTTCCTATAATTTTAACCAGACGAGAAATGATTCCAACGAATCTCACTAACTACTACGGCTTTTTCCCACTAACTTTTATTGATTTCAACTAATTTTACCGACCCCTTCGGATATCGTTTGGTATTTGTTTTCAGTTTGAATAGTCTACAATTTTTCGTGTTGATTTTGTGCTTATATATAAAATAAATTATACACAATTATAATTTAGATTTTAAATGCTATAACTTTAAAGTGGTTTTGGATACAATTACAAAATGGATGTAAAGTTTCCACTGAGAAATCACTCTCCTAGACAATATTGCATGTGCTTATGGTGAGCCAAACATCAAACATTGAACCACTCATATTGGTTATGTAACAAAATGGGTATACAATTGCCAAAGGGGTTTAGCCATGTGGAAAAAGAATCTTGACTTGTAGACCAGTGATTTCAAGTTCGAATTCCCACAGCACCTTGACAGTGTGCATTTACCAAATTTAAGTCGGGAGGTGAAAAATGAACCAAACTTTGAATTTATATGGAGGAGAAAGTAACTGAACCCCAAGTCTAATGAAGTGAATATATGATATATGACAACGTTGAATAGAGTGCTTAAGTCCAAGCACACCCAAATGAAAAATAAAATACAACCAGTTTTTTGTAGTTGTGGTTATATATGCTCAAAACCCTAGCTAGCAAGATCCAAATGACAAGGCCATGTTTAAGTATAAACTTTGTCAGTTGTTTTTAGGACAGTGTGAGATGGCAGTTTATATGTCTGATCTGAAAGACAATCAGATCTATGAAATCACCCTTTAGTTTCCACCAAAAGTATTGCTACTTCAAATTTGCATTTCAAATCAAATATCACAGGTTCCATGATAGATGGGAAGAAAATGACAAAAAAAACTCTTGATCAAGGGCTATGATTTTTTATCAGTCAGCAACAACATCATCATAAGCTACCCACTTCATATGATTGAAATCAAAAGTAACATGATGGTTCATGGAATCTGGAATTAATAAATGAAGTCATAAACAGTATTAAATGTAATTAATGTCATGATTATGCTTTGCACTCACTCACTAACCTCGCAAGAATAATCCAAGGAATTATGAACCAACCAGCAGCATCACCAAGGCTTGAAGCCAACAAACACCCCATGATCAAGAAAATGGTCAACATTGCAGAACAGAAAAGTCAAAAGGTGCATTCATCAAGCTCATATAAAATAATTGTCACATCAAATATAATGACAAATAAAGAATTGTGGGCGGAAAGCTTGGTTTGATAATGCAGCAATGGAGCTATTTGGATGATGTCTTTTTTAAAAAAATTAAAAAAATTAAAAAAAGTGGAAATTAAATTAATAATTATTGCTTCCACTTATGAAGATTATGATATACTTATTATTTTAGCAAATCTACAAAATATTCCTGCCACAAGAAAGTGATGGAAGTGTTTGATGCATCAAAAGTCAATGTGTATATCCACTGAGCCGGATATCAAATGTGCTGCTTTATTTGAGTTACTGGATCTGATTGCATCTCCCCTGACCTGAATAATGAAAATTGACAAAGTACCAACCAGTCAGCAATGTGCTATCTAGCTAGCAAACATCATTTTTGGCTTTGAACTTGGGATTATATCATAATTGCCTTTTGATTTTATGAAGATGACTTTTATACCTTTTTGTTATTTAGATTTTGAACTAAAATACTAGGCGAGCAGAGTTTACCCAATTTCAAATTCGAACCCATGTAGCACCTTGATAGTGTTAGTTTAGTTTTTGTTTTGGGAATCTGATCCCCCACTGTTACCAATAGAATTTCAAAAAGAAGAAGAAAATCATTTAGCATTTACCTCATTTTGATTATGTTCCATTCCAATTCCCCCTTCTATTTTAATTCCAAATAAGTAAATTTGTGAGAGATTGGTCTGACTCGCCCAAACCGGCCTACCCGATTTTCGGAGGACTTGGACGGCAATCCGACCTCGAACCAAATTCTGAACTTAAATTAAGAGCAGTCTAAACATGCTTCAGTTTGTTAACAGACAACAGCCTCTACTCTATGGTCTAGTTAATATACCAGGAACAGGAACCACTTGAACATGTTGTCTATACCTCCCACACTCCGACGGCAGAACATGATACAGAACACAAAGAGACAACATCTTTGCCACATGGGGCGGTAGTCAATGTGGAGAGAATAGAATCTCGTAGATTAAAGAACATGGCCTGTTGAATAAAATCTTTAGTGTATGTTTGGCATTACTTATTTAGGGCGATAAGTGATTTTTTAAAAATTTTGAAAAATCCAACTCGTTTGGTAAATTATGAGAAAATCACTTATTATTAAAAATTACTGTGAGAGAAAACTATAAGGGAAAACAGCTAATAAAATGCTTTCATTTTCTGAATATGCAGATTTCAATTTTGAAGAGACGATGAGTTTAATGATTATGCAAGAATTATTTTTTGATTATGCGGGAATGAGTACTAACAACATGTTTAATAAAACGTTTACTAAACGCCAAACTGCTTTATCTCACAGCTGATTTCTCTCACAATAAATCTGACAATGATTATTTTGGCAACACAGCAATGCCAACGTGTTTAGTGCATAACGGTGATTGAGTTATTCATAAATCTGGGACAGCCGGGCCAGGTAGCAACAAGACCTATTTATGGCCTGGTACGAACCCAGCCCAATCTAGCCATTAATGAAGAGCAAGGCTGAGCATGAGGCAGAGTAAAGAAACCGGCAAAATGGGAAAATTTGACATTACTGAAAAGGAAGCCTATGAAGAGAGTGATGAAGCAGTATTACATGCAAGAACAATTATCAGCATCACAAACAACTTCAACTAGTTGGCTATAACATTATGAACTCCACAAATACTAATATTCTTAACATGTTTTAAGATGTTTCATAATAAACAGACTAAAAAACAATGGCTCTTTTTTTTCTTTCTTCAGACAATCAAAACATCAACAAGACAAGATGCTCAACGTGATACTGCCATCCAGCCCAGGCCATACTCTGTGTTCTTCCTTCCAAGTTCCAACTTTTGCAGCTTACTCCTCTTTCCCCACAAAAATGTTCAATTGAAAATGGGAACCCGAAACAGTCGATTTCAGGCACCGGCTAGTTCCTGTTTTTGGATTTCTCCATGGCTCTAGGAGCTAAACAAAAAAAAAACCAACAAAGAAAGGGCCGGATAAGAGTACAATTTACCATTTAATTAAAAAGGTGAAAATATCAGAATGTTTATGAATGCTAGAGGTTACTAACCAAGCTTCACACATATTGATCTATCTTGCAAAAATATAAGCTGGGACTATAATAATATAGAACTCTAATATGAAGAAGTATTTCCTTAAGTGACATGGCAAATATGCAACTAGCAGTAACAAATGCAATAGTCTACTGTAATGATAAATAAAGTTGTGTGGCAACAAAGCATGAAACTGAAACCATCACTTCAATGCATTCTACTTAGCACAGATATTGTCAAATTCAACCTTAGATAACACCACTAGGAAATAGTTCATGTCAAAATACCAACTTTACTTGTTAGACGCTTTCACATCAGGGCTCGGAAAATCGAAACAGATTCTCCTATATCACATGATCATCTTTGCTTAGCATTCAAGTCAACTAAGACGGATCTATTCATTGCTGGATACCGATCCTCAACTGGCACACTGCCATCATACCTACTGAAGTAAATAGGAAATCAACAAACCTGTCTACAAAATTCACTCCTCATTCACTGCCTCAAAAAATTTCAGCCTACATTGTTTTATAATCATTTAATTCCCAATATCCATCTGATAAGCACATGAAAATATTTATCAACTGGTCCAGCTGAGCACGCCAACAAGATAAATTTGGTAAAACTTAGAAATGTATCTTACTACCCTTTTGTTTATGCAGACAAACACTCTCCCAAACCTAATATGACATTTTTGACCAAATAAGATGATTATTATCAGCCCAATCAGTGCAAATAGTAGTAGGGGAGATCATTAAAGACAAACCTAAGCCAATGGCATCGGAGCCCTTCATTATCTTCAACCTCTTGCATGAATCAATAAACATCCTGTTAAAAAGTCGAAATGGAGTTAAAATTGCAGATGCATAACATAAATAAAAAATAAAAATGCCTGAGATGAGTATCATGGCCTATGTATACATGATATTAGAATGAACTACTTTTCTTGCCTTCGTTTTTTTCCCCATTATTTCCCTTCCTCTTTTGTCTGATAACAATGAGACTACTCATGATTGCTGTTAATACTTAAAACTCTTGGAACATTTTTGCATCCATAGAAAGATATAAATTATACAAAACAGAAGAACTTAATTTTAGCATATTGAACAAGAAGTTCGTAGTTCATCATAAAGTAACTAGTTGAAGTCTTTCTACTATCACATTTTCAAAAATTTATGAGTGAGCTTATCAATTAAAACTTGTCAATTTTGAAACTTTAATACTACAAATGGACCTTCCTTTTTATTATTATTATTAATATAGAAAACATATACAAATGAATATGGAAATTGAGGTAATAACATGTATAATTTAAATAGTTTATGCAAGAATTCATCTGAGGTAAAAATATTGTGCGTCAACTAAACAAGATTTGTGCATATTCTCATATTTCCATCAACTCAGTAAATGATACTATGATGGTCAACCTCACATCCTTAGTCACAGTGGCTTTATCTCTCTGTAAATAGGAAAATAAGGGTTGCATGATAACTTTGTTGTCCATCACATCTTGCACCCCACATCATATAATCAATGAACTTGCATACATTCTCATCGCATGGACACAATTTGATGTAAAAATCAAAGATAAAGAAGGATTTGAATGTAGACTAAAGCAGACTATCCAGTCCTCGAGATGCTTCAGAATCTCAAATCTCTAGTTTCTTGGATGGTTTAAAATGTACAAAATACTATCACCTTCCTGACACGAGGTGGGTAATGAAGTATTTCATTGATAAATCTCTTGCCCTTCTAGTATCACCCTCCTTCACAAGTGAACTATAATATTCCTCACTCAACCATACATGTAAATTTTACCGACATACATCAAATTTTTACTGTTAGTTGAGTAAAAATGGCTATAACATATATAACTTCGAATGAAAAGCTTAACTTTTGGAATAAAGCAACAATGTTTCTACACTAAATCAGTTTAAAAAATTGTCTTTGTGGATGGAAAGCAAAAGAGAAATATTGGAACACTAAACGGGTAAATCAGAACTTACTCCCATGGGACATCCCCAACAAGCATCCAGTCACCATCCTTGTCCTCATACGTAAGCACATATTCTGATCCATGAAGAAGATCTCTCAGCTTACTCTCACTCAGTCTTTCCCTTCCCGGGGCTCCATGGGATCCATATTGCCCTGAAATCACAACAAAAATTGCACAAATTGGGTTTGTGCAGAAATGGGATGGTTTTCTCTATTTGCACTTTAGACATCTCAGATTGCAAACATCCATCAATATCCAAGCATGAAATGACCACATTGATAAGAAAAAGAAAATAAAGGCACGATATTACTATTAAATAAACTAGAGCAATAGTTCACCTATGGTAAAACAGCTGAACATCTTTTCGAGAGCAGAAGACAGCTCTTGATATGTAGAGTAGGTTCTCAGATCTACCTTCCTCAAGTAGGGAGCACCATCCATGCTGACCTTGACAAAAAGACCACCAGGACCAGGTTTTCCATTAACTTCGTCATTGTTCTTTGAGGTGGTGGCTAAAGAATTTTTCCTAAATGATCTAATTGGAGGCCACCCAACAACTTGTGCCCTGTCAAACAAAGAAGAAGATACGATTACAAACAACCACAACTTTCATATAAAGCTTCACAATCCTCAATTGAAAATTTCATCTTACTTAGCAGCTGGGGCACTGCTGTTGTTAGAAGCACCCAAAGGGTTACGGCTGGCTCCATTCGTAGCATGAGACTGTTCTTGTAAAACTTTAGTGAGCTCCTCTTTTGTCATGGTTGGCTGAGTCCCAGAAGGCCTGGATGATAGCATTACATTGATTGAATTCACAGGAAACTTCCCTTGTCCAACAGATTCTGGAGCTTCAGAATCAGAACCAGCTGCATGAAACATCCAATTTCCTTCAGTATAAACAGCACTTTTCACCTCTGAGAATCCATCCATGGTGTCAGCAAAGCCCCTTTTGTTGCCTGAAACAACATTCTTCTGTGATGAGGAGCAGATTCCATCTTTTGACGGAAGCAAAGGAAACAGTGGCTTCTCGTCAAGTTTTCCTGAGCTCAGCAAGCAAAGATCTGGTACCCGTTCTGGTGATTGGGATCCAGGAAGACCAAGCCTCAACTCTGTGGCCTGAAAATTCAGCTTGTTCTTCTTCTCTTCTGACAAGCTCGAAACTGTGGAGCTGTCAACCGAAGAACAATCTGACAACCCAAGGTAGTTGCGTTCTTTCAGTCCAGACCCATTATGGGAGATACAGTCCATAGAGCGTGAAGAAGCTACCATAGATCCATTGCTCTGTCCTTCCTCCTCACCACCCAACAGTGGTGGAGACATTAGAAACTACACTGCTTTAAATGGAAACAAAATTAATAAAATTATCAGATCTATTGCTATTAAAACCAACACTGAAACCAAAACATGAAAATCCTGACAGCACAAGATGGGGAAGGTACACTTATTAAAGGTCTAACTATTTCATCTGACGGAAATTAAATTCACAAAAAGTAATAATAGAGTTCTGGAAATTTTGATCGATTGGACATCATGTATTTTCTCATCATCATTGCCCCACTAAAATAATTGAGGGCATGAATAAAGGTTTTTCAGTAGGCAAACTTCCTGCTAAAAAACACAGTGCCTAGCAGAAAATTAATGAAATTTGTTGCACCACAAAAATCTCTAGCCACTAGGTTCATGAAAGGGTAAAAGAGACAGCTTGGGCCAGTGGCCAGTGGTACTGCACATATAATCATAAGGCTTCAGAAAACATAGAAATCAAGATTCAAGAGTATTGTTTTCTAACGCCCAAAAAAGAAAACATAGAAATGAACCAAGAAGAAACTTATACAAAAGAACATCAAGAAGAAACTTATACAAAAGATCATACCAAAAATGGAAAAGTAAATTAACCACCAATGAAAGATTGTAACAACACAAGAAGTAAGCTCCAGAACGTCAATTTCAGAACCTTATAAGAAACTAGCTGTAATAAAATTTCAATGCTCCATCCAAAGCCAAAACAAATGCACAATAAAAACAAATTGAAAAGAAGAACCGGGTTTTTCTACTTCCTTTAATAGGAAAAAGGTCAACTCGGTTTTGTAGCATTTGTCAGCATGAGCTAAGCTTTACCTTTTCTTAAAAACTTGTAACCCCTTTTCTCTCATTTCCCCAATTTTTCTACGAAACCAAACAGACAACGGAAAAAAGTAAAACATTTTTTCTGTCTATAAAAACACAGAAAATTGCAAGATCCACTAAAAGCTTAAAAAGTCCAAAGAAAAAGGGGGAGTAAACTGAAAATGCTCGAGACCTTGACCTGAAATAATGAACAGTGAAATGCAGAAGTTAAAAAATAAAAACCCAAAAACAAAAACCAACCCAGAAAGGTGTAATTACAGAGAAATCAAAGAAGACTAATTTCCAGAACGAACTCAAACTTAGACTGTATCAAGATCTCAGAACACAAAGACCCAGAATTCAAACAAGCAAAAAAGCTTAGCTTGAACCATATACCAAATTACATACAAGTAATAAGAGTATAAAAGAAGCTTTTAAGCATGAAAAGAAGCTTTTAAGCATGAAAACAAAAAATAAAAAAGAAGGAATATTCGTAGCTCGTACCTGAGGAACTTGTGTGGATCAGGCAAAGAAGAGAAGTCCGACGAACCCTTTTCTGAAATCTCAAATAAAATGCAAAGAAAGCAGAGCAGAGAGAGAGAGAGAGAGAGAGAGAGAGAGAGAGAGCTCAAGACCCTTCCATTAAGCAGAAAGCAACAAAAGCTTTATTTTTTAGGCTGAGCTCGCCGAGGAACTCGAAGCTCACAATAGTGATTTGTTTTTTCTTTTGAAAAGGAAAAAAAGCAAGTAGGGGCAGAACCGAAAATACGGATAAAAGGTTGGCTTTTATTATTATTTTGATATGCGCTTTGTCTGCGAAATACGGACCGGCTGGTTTTGCACGGCGCCGATCTTGGACAGGAATGGGAGAATTGAAGGCTGAGATTGACTAAATTTAATGAATCTGAGCCGTCAGTTCTTGGTTCAAGTGAGAACTTCATACTATTTTCTTTCTGCTCTTTTTAGTTTCGGAAATGAGCAAACAAATAGAATTTTGGGGCATAGACGGTTTGGTTACAAGGGCTTTAACGACCCGTTACGTTATTGCTCGTGTCAAATATTATAAGGCTTTTTCAATTATTTTATCTCATTGCTCCTTTTTTTTCTCCTTTTTTATAATTTATAAAAATCTTATTTCCTCGACTATAATGAGGTATACATGTTGCACAGATACGGATACGAATATATTATATAGGGACACGGGAAAAACGACAAATCTAAAAAAATTAGGACATGAGGACATGATAATTAAAAAATAAATTATAATAATACTTATATATATATTTATCTATATATGTGTGTGTATGTGTGTGTGTGTGTGTGTTTGAAATCCCCCTCCCCTATAATTTATCCATTTTCACACCTCTTAAGCCCTACAACCTCGAGCATCACTGACCACAAACCACTATAAACATTGACTCATGCACCACAGACTCTCACCGTATCCCTCTAGCTTTTACCTTTAATAACCCTATTCGTCCACAACCTTTTCCTACACTAGTCAAAAGTCTAACCAAGCCAAGCTCAGACGTTTTTTTTTTTTTTTTTTTTTTTTGGTGAATTCTTTGATTGCATTCATAATTCAGCAAAAAAAGTCACTAGTCATAAAGGGCCAATACAAATTAGCCACAAAAAGGCTATTACAATAACGAAGTAGTCTAACATCAAAATTAAGACAATTTGGTGCGCCTCCATTAACAATCACACAGGATCGAAAAAACTCTAACATAGGCATCTCAACTAAGATTGCAAGCTTAGAATAATAAAATAGAGAAAAAGCTTGAAAAAATCAAGTCATAACAATACAAATAAAACTCTCACAAAGGAGAAATGAAAAGCTTTCACAAATGAGAGATAAAAGGCTCTCACAAAAAGAGAGATGAAAACTACATACAAAAAATTGAAAGAGTCTATGCAACTTATTTCAAATATAAAGAAACCGCAAGAAAAATGGTGATGGAGATCTGACGCCGAAATGCGGCCACCTGTAATGGTTAGATGAAAATCATAACAAAACGAATACAAATAGGGAAATCCATTTGTCGTCTTTGAAAATGGGGAAAGAGGTGAAGGGACCCTCCCCCCCTCAAAGTGAAAATGGCTTTATGAGTGTTTTTTGGGAGAAAAAGTGTTTTTCAAAGTGAAAACGGCTTCCTCCCCTCCTAAACCCTAAATCCGAAGATGTTGTCTCTAGCCCTTTGATAAATTATAAAAGTTTAATTTATTGAAGGTGACTCTAAGGTTTTAATTGATGTCTGAAGTACTTGAAAAATAAAAAAGTTTGTTTACTGAAAATAAACTAAAAATTAATGTTGCATATTATGTAATTGATCTAACATTATTACATAGACAATTAATTTAAAGAGATAAAGCAAAACATAAGTAAGTGGCGACAAGTCTTTCGTATTCAGAAGAGTAAACCAAGGCATTAAACCAGGAATGCGATTTGATAATCAAACCAGATATCAATTATTAACTAGTTTTGTATGATTTATGTCCTTGGTTTTGGCAACCTGCATTGCTATTTAATCTAAATATTAAATGGTTGCTTGAAGAAATCAATATAAAACGGTGGATTTGGTTGAGATTTTACGAAATCAGTAGGGACAAAATGGGGAAAAAATCAGAAAGCGCATGGATGTAGTAGGTGAGACGGTGACGCAAGAGGCAATTAATGGGGAGAGAGAGAGTAGGGAGGGGGACAGAGAAAAACAGGGGTTGGGAGTGTGATTGGGGGACAAGAAAACGGCAGTTGACGTCTGTTTGCCGGGTGGTGGGCGGGACATCTAACCTCCCTCCTCCATCCTTTTCTTTTTTCCACAATTACCCTTTTAATAATCAATTATTATTATTATTATTATAAATGTCTAAATGAAAATAAAAACAAAAAACAAAAAATATTTGGGGTTATAGTTTGGTTTGGTTTGGTCTAAACGAACGAGAGCATCATGATGAAACTGGCAGTAGCGGTCTTGCACGCTTGGGCACAAGCATTCATGTTTTGTGCATGCGACAATGTTATCCATCATCACCCTGACATCATCCCCCACGTCACATTCACCTACTATTTATTTATTTATTTTTGAAAAATAATATTACTATTAATGGTAATTTATGTAGCTAGCTACTAATGGGAAGTCTAGCTAGCATACAGAATATAGAGGTAGGGTGGTGGGTTCATTAAGAAACATGGGGCAGTGTCATTGTTGGCAAAGACAAAAGCATGTTGGTTGCTTGAAGCCCGCCTGGCCTGGCCTGGCCTGGCCTGCATTTTCCTAGTGATGAGTTCCCTGGCAAAACCAAATTTAATGCCCGAGATTTTGATTGGGTTGAATTCTCGCTTCAGATTAGACAAAGTTTTTGGTGTCATATGAGATTAGACATTGCATGTTTTTGGTGTCATATGAGATTCAAATACTTGATTAATTGAGTAATGTCATCTTGTGTTTGGTATTGACACATCTTCCCCATCATACTCTGTGGCCTAGAGTAACCTCAAGGTTGATGCACGTCGTAGAGGAAAGAAGACAAAACCATGTCACACAAATCGACTCCACAATTCGTGCAACGGTTAAACCAAGGCTCATAGAGTTGATAGGAAATCAATCGGATGATGCGTGAGTTTACTATTCATAACACCGTCGTATTTGGGTATTCTGGGTTGTAGCCCAAGTCACTCCACCCATTAATCCAAGCCCAATTTTCCACACTAGCCCAAGTTAGATCCCAATGAAAGAAAATTCCTACTTAAGATTCTAGGCTTAAAATCCCCAAGCCCAATCAAAGCCCATTTCCCCCCATCTCAACGCCCAATGTCCTTAGCTTAGATTTGAAAGTTCCTACCTACAATAAAACATTTTTATTTCCTTTCTAGAAGAGTAAACAAGGAAAACCTCACGGCTTATTTTACTATTTGGGTCCAGTAAATCTGAGTGTTGCATCTTTGAATCTTGATGGAGATGGTTGAAAATCAATTTACAGGACCCAATTCCGGATTGGGCTCGATATGAGTTGAACTTGGTTTTGGTTGGGTTCATATCTCAATTTGAAGCCTTCTTTGTGGATGGGCTCCTTCTTCCAAGGCTTCTCTGCAACAAATTACAAAGTTAATAAGAATAGTTTTCAAGATAGAAAAAGTAAAAACTGACCCATTACTTAATAGGAAATTGCCATCCATACAATGGACTGGAATAGACCATATCAATTAAAATAGATAAAGAGTTTTAACCGTTGTTTGGTGTGCTTAGTCTGTATTTGTTAAAATGGATAACAATTCAACATATTGTAAAGACTAGTTTGGACTTAACTCCAATCCAATCCAAATCGGGTCACCAAACGAAGCTGAAACGTGTATGAATAATTGTTTTTAACGACCTAAGCTATAAGCTCCTTTCACAAGAGATAGGCTATCATGTTTGCTTGGTTGGGTATAATTTTCTTGAAATGTCAAACAAGGTAAGACCAAAAATGAAGCTACCAAGAAGTTGCCTTGGTGTGGACTCATCAATGCACCTCCAACAGAAAGGAGACTGTTTAGTGTTAGGCACCCTTCTTGGGAAGCAACCTAGCTGCGTTGGTTCTTGCAGATCTCTGTGGATAAAAGGCCGAAAGCATATGAAAATGACATACATATATGACCTCAATTAGCACAGAGCTCTTCATAATCTTTGGAGTGTACCTAAGGACTGGCACATTGGACAAGAAAAGGCAGAGCCATATTTCACTCGGCTCCAGTAAGCACTAACAGCCTAGTTGCTGACATTGTTTTGTCTTTTTAGAGTTTCTCCTTAATTTTTTTTTCTTCTGAGTACAGAATTAACGCATCTAACTCGAAATCAATTGACAGTTAGTGATGAATGAATATGCCCGATATCTTATACACTATTATGCGAGGCTCTATTTTCTTTGGGGAATTGCAAGAGTTCAATTGTTACTTTTCCTCTTCTCTGTTTTTTTCTTCCACTGGGCGTGAAGAGCATGTCAGTGAAGTGAAGGTGAAACACACAAAACTCAATCAATTAGGTCAATCTTTTTAGCTTCATTCGTAGAACAAGTCCACATCGTGAAGAGAAAACAGTACGAAAGGGTTTTGCTGGTCATTGTCTAAGGGAATTGGAGTTTATTTACAAGTAAAAAAAAAAAAAAAAAAGTCAAGTCTTTGCCAAGTATTTTCAAAATTTGAGTTCCACACGGCATATCTTCTAAAAGATAGCAGCAGCAACCATGTTGATGTTGTTGTGGTTGATCACGTTCTTTTACGGTCGCTGAAAGCAGACTTTGGTTGTATTAGCAACCACATGGTATGGTCGGTTTTTGGCTTGCTCTTTGGGTCCATATTTCTTTAATTAATTTGTTCGCAACCGTAGCCATCTCTTCAAAAACACTCAAATGGAAGTGCACCATAGTCCAAGGCAACACATTAAAAAAATTTGAATACTTTTTGGCAGAATCCATGAAATCTTGATCCCATTGATCATTCTTTTACTTTTTCTCTAGATTCCATGAAAATTTGAAATAAAAATAGTGCAAAATTTTTCTTTATCCAAGTTTTGGTTGACACGTTGGGGATGTAGCTTTGGATGGAAAAAGTTATATCAGTCTCATAATTGGAAAAACTCACCTTACTAGCTACACGGCTGCTTTTGCTCAGAAAAGCTCATATTTCTTAGGTGTCTACCATTTTAGCCAAAAAGAGGAGGAAAGAAGAGGACTACGGCTCCACCCCCATGGTAAGGGATAAGCAGCAC